AGACTTGTTTAGTAAAGTTTGAGCAGCTTCAGCAGTATATATCTGCCAATAAAGGGTATACAGTATAGCGTTGAATTATACCGGTCGCTTATTTACCACCTCGCCAAACATTTTATTATTCCTTTTCCTTATCAATTCCTTTATAAGGGTCTACTGCTTGATTCATTTATAATTCCAACATCCAGCTATACAATTGGTGGTAAGACAACGATTTAATCTAGTGTAAAAACCAATGAAGGAAAAGAACAATCGCCGGGAAAAGAATATTGGAAATGACTTTCTCACGGCACTGTCATAGCCAACAGTTGTACATTTCTGACGTTCAACGGTTTTTTTGGGCACATGTTTTTTTCTTATTTTACGGAATTTCAACAAATGTTCATTCGTCCCTTACATCAATAATGTCACTGCTGAGTCTCGCATGATCGAAATGGTCGTATGGTATACGTTCGAAAAAGGCGTTACCTTACGTCGTATGTTTGGTAGTTAAACGTACGTACATGATCATAAGATTGTAAATTGGACATCTCGATATTGTATGGCTTGTATTCATAAAATCAGCCACCTGCTCTAACCACAACTATGTGTGCAAGCATAATGCCTTGTTCCGGTAATAATCTATGTATGTATCATGTTCCCAAATCATTTAGACTTTACTTTATGACGGTGACGCACCATTTCAACGTGTTATAATTCAAAAAGGTTAGCGTTAACTCAGCATTCCTCTTTAAGCATGGTAATGGTATAATTAATACCGGTCGACATTTTGGTGTTTGGCCATGCTCTGTATGTCTTGTTTTGACTTACTGCAGTACGTGTTTACCGTGGAAGAGGACGATGGGGAGGTCTTACTTTCACTGGAACAGTGGGACAAACGAATCGACAAGGACAAGGGCAAAAGCAACTACACCATCGGCTGCACTGTGATGAAAGTAACTGTCTGTCTCAGTAGTTATCGTATAAAGAATGATTGTTCTCAATTTAAATGCATGATCGGAATAGTTCACACACTGCATAAATCAAACAGCAAACTTTATAACTTGCTAAAGCATGTAGGATCGATGACAGATAATTCCTCACACATCTTACCATTATAACTGTGTCAACTGTATTGAGACACGAAACAACGACACAAAAACAACACCAAATGATGATGTCTGGTTTGTCAACTGAAAATGGTATTGCTTTAAAGCGGTCTTGATAATTGGTAATAATTAATGTAAGCAGATTGAAATAGTGAGCAGATGCTTCATTTAAATACATATACAAAGTAATAGCAAATCTACGACTGTTAAGAATTTAACACCGATACGACAAAAACTAAAATGTCATAACCGCGAATATGTAAATAATATTCAGATCTGCATACGGTGAAACAAGGAAAGGACGTATACACTTTTGTAGTCATATTCTAATAATGTCTACAAATAAACTTCCAAAGATTTGATGAAAAATTGAGATTGTTTTCTCTTCTCATTTTAGACTGATTTAAACCGGAAGTTCCGTATGCATGACAGAATGGACAGAGTGCATTCTGGTCCGTTCTCTAACGCACGTGGTGTGTTCGCGCGTATCAACCTGAAGTCTGGAACATACTGTATCATACCTTCTACGTTTGAGCCAGGGAAGACAGGCAAATACTTACTTCGTGTCTTCTGTACAACTGCGCCGTTGATGAGGTACAGTACACTTCCGTTTCTGTGTGATTAATGTCATAGCGCTAACTAAATCCGTGAAATCGTACTTTTCATTTCTTCGGGGAGTAATATCTTAGCTCCTTTAGTGTTCTTTTATGGTTAGGGATTTCGTTGTACCACTGTAGAATCAAGTCTACCTTAACGAATACCTGGAATGAACGGTCACATGTAAAAAACGAGCTGGTGTTATATTTTATTACAATTTAATTTATTTATTGAACTAATTTAAGACAATTTTGAACAGATACTAGCTCATTTTAATGATAATAAAATTCTACATTTATAAAATAAAATAAGATACTCAGTTATTGGCAATATTGAATAATTACAATACATATATTTTGATATTGTCTTTTTTTTCCATAAATGGAACTTGACAGTAGTACCTAATTATCTCATTAGGCAATGGGCTTATCAACAAATCTTCAAAATATGAGTAAACTCGGGAAATATGCTTTATAAAATTGCTTTGTTGTTTTATAATATAGGGAACTTGTGCATGACAAGCCCCTTCCCCCACAGATCTGTGGCATTAAGGGGATCAAGAAACCCAAGGTAGCCGCTACTCAAATAACGATGGTGCGAGCGGAGGCTCTAGAGGCGCAGGATTGGGATGGAGGTAGGCTAATTATAGTTTAAAATGTGTTAGTTTAAATAGTATACGTTTCATTTGATTAAGAGCCAAGTAAACCAAAGTCGTTCAATTATTTATTAAGTCAGGGTGATGTTTTCATTATAATTATAATTGTACTTATAAGTTGTACTTGTTGAGGTGGTTAGCCTCAGTTTCGTACTTTATAAGAAGCGATGAGCTACTTTTGTTATCAATATTTGTGTTGCGTTTCTAGCCTCATATCCGTATTTTATAAGAGAAATGGGACACATTTATTATCAATATTTGTGTCCTATTTAATTTCTAGCCTCGGATCTGTACTTAATAAGAGAAAATGGGACACTTTTGTTGCCAATATTTGTGTTCCGTTAATGTGTGCGTTCAGAGAAAAGATGAGATACTTATGAAATCAATATTTCTGTTCTGTTTCTAGCCTCTGATCCGTACTGTGTAATATACTGTAACAAGAAAACCCAGCGGACTAAAAGCATTCCGGACACGGTCAACCCGGAATGGAACGAGAGGGTGACGTTTTATAGACAGAAGCCTGACAAAGACGTCCGCATTGAGGTAACACTTTATAGAACAGATATACGATGGAACGAAAGGGTGATAATTTACGGACAGAAATATGGCACAACATTCTTATTGAGCATAAAAAAAATCAACAGAGATCTGGGAAGAAACGAAAGGATGATTGCCTTTTTAAACTAACCCATAACAATCAGAACACAGCATAACCTCAGATATCTACAGCTACTCTCCGGAGTACATTTAATTTGTGTAAATTATCTTTAAAAAGGTAGGTTTTCACAACATGACTTATTTGTGAGCTCGATAGAGTTATTCCCCTTTTGTCTATTATAGAGGACGTTGACTGGAACGTTCGTTAGACATGTATTTGATATTATGTGGTTCGATATTAAGAGTAAGTTGATTTACGATGAAAGTCGAAAAATGTGGATTTAAAGGAAGACTTGTGAAACAAACTACATATGTTTGACAACATCAAGCGTTGTAGCGTGCCAATATGTGAAAACAACCCGACATGATATTGAAATAGTTACGTTTTAACATAATAATTTTCCTCACATTCTGGCTTCTTAATTTTCCTTAACTGCTTTCTTGAACTTTTGAAATATGTTACAGGGGGTATTTTTCACGGCGTATGTTTGTGACTTTATTCTATATTTTTGGGTTCCACATGGTGAAAATTATGTTAATGACTTTCATTAAACTTCCTGTCTCACTTCATCACGGCCTTTTCAGCAAAGTTTTCATAACATTTCTTCTCACTTTTTGTACGATATTGTTTTATGATATATCGTAACATTTAGGTTGAAAAAAACAATGCGAAAGTCGGTGACTCTTCAAATTTTTAAAAAGGATTTTCATGGTACAAAGTTACAGTAGTCAATCCTTGTTATTTCTTTTCAAAATCATAAAACATATATAATATAGTATGAATTTGTATCACATTGATATTATTTCTATAAAGATTGCAAGAAATTGTATTTTCGATCAGTTTTGATGGGTTCCTTCTCAATAAGTTAAGTGGCATGCGATCCTAAGTGCCGACGTAGGACTGTACCGTTAAGCTAACTACGTGGAATGGTGTTGGAATCTAGTCGGCTTCTCCGACACTTACATTTGTCGTGCAATCAATAGCAATATTGTTATAATTCGAGGTTCTTATATACCGCTTTATTACAACCTAGTTCGT